AGTCTCCTGCCTCTGCCTCCCAAGTAGCTGGGACCACAGGCACCCGCCACAATGCCTGGCTACTTTTTGGTTACAGCCGTCGTTGTTTGGCAGGCCCAGGCTGGATTCGAACCCACCACCTTTTGGTGTATGTGGCTGGCACCTTAGCCACTTGAGCCACAGGCGCTGAGCCAAATACTAGATTTTTAATAGCCATTTTTTAACAAAAGATATTTTTATTGTGATAAAGTATGCTTTGCATAAAAGTTACCATCATAACCATTTTTAAATGTATAGTTCAGTACTATTAAGTACATTCATGTTGTACAGTAAATCTCCAGAACTCTTCATCTTGTGAAACTAAGACTTAGACCCATTAAACAACTCCCACTCCTGCCCTTTCAGCCCCTGGCAACCACCATTCTACTCTCTGAATTTGCCTACTCTAGGTCCCTTTTAAGTGAGATTAATAGTCATATTTTTTAAATTAACTTTCCTAATAGTATGATATCTTCTCATAATAAAATATGTAATTAGATCATGCTTTATATAGTTTGGTGAAAAGAAAAACAGAAGGCAAAACTCCTTGAGTCTTTTTTTCTCCTCTAAAGCTGAGTATGGCTGTATCTACATATAAACCCCAAGCCTTTTTCCCCCAGAATTCATCCCCACCCATACCATGTTAGCATTCTGAACTTAATTGGTATCTTAATCTATACAATCAGGGATATATCCCTCTGCTCAGATTTAAGTGTAATTAGTGGCATAAATTTCCCTTAATCCTTTAAATTCATTTGTATCTATTAGGCTTATAGTTAACAGTGATTTTTTTTTTTTTTTTTTTTTATCTAAGGCTCCTAGGCTCTTTGGCTCCTAACATGGAGCTTTATATCTATACTTTATGTTGAAATGTTGATACTTCATGAAGTAGCAACAAAAATAATTTTATGGTTGAGGGTCACCACAACATGAGGAATTGTATTAAAGGGTTGCGGCATTAGAAAGGTTGAGAACCACTGTTCTAGAGGAAGAATATTAAACTTTTAGAATACAAAATGGGAAACTAGAAATTAGGATTTGTGTAAGATGTTAAAAGATGCCTTACTTGGTAGGAGGTACTTAAAATTATTTTGAGTCAAGTAGATAATTGTATAAATTGTTGTTAGTCTGATTTTGTAATAGGACAGGCTAACATTCACTTCGTTGAGACCATGCATGTGTCCCCAAACCTAATTCTTTGCCTAGGTCTGCTTTTATAAATGGTGATAAACCAGATCTGAAAAGAAAAAAGCAGGGGGGAAAATATTGTCTTAAAAAAGTGAAATAGATACATAAATTGAGGATTTTTGTGCATTATTTGGGGGGGGAGGCAGAGGTGTTTATTGTTTGTTTTTGAGACAGAGTCTCACTCTGATGCCCAAGCCAAGGCATCAGTCCAGCTCATGGCAACATTCAACTCCTGGGTTCAAGGGACCCTCCAGCCCAGTAAGCTGAGACTATAGGCAACCATCACAACACCCAGCTAGTTTTTCTATTTTTAGTAGGGGGGGGGTCTCTTTCTTCCCTCAGGTTGGTCTTAAACTCCTCAGCTCAAGGGATCCTCCTGCCTTGGCCTCCCAGAGTGCTAGGATTACAGGAATGAGCCACCAAGCCTAGCCATGACTTTCATAGTTTTTTTAATTATGTAAGTTTTAATGAAAAGGATCTGTTGGCTCGGCGCCTGTGGCTCAAGCGGCTAAGGCGCCAGTCACATACACCTAAGGTGGCGGGTTCGAATCCCCAGCCCAGGCCCGCCAAACAACAATGATGGCTGCAACCAAAAAATGGCCAGGCGTTGTGGCGGGCGCCTGTGGTCCCAGCTACTTGGGAGGCTGAGGCAGGAGACTCGCTTGAGCCCAGGAGTTGGAGGTTGCTGTGAGCGTGATGCCATGGCACTCTACCCAGGGGGATGGCTTGAGGCTCCGTCTCAAAAAAAAAAAAAAAGAAAAGAAAAGAAAAGGATCTGTTGACTGGGCCTGTCTGAATTTTTTTCCTATTTTAGTATATCTGCTGCCAAAGCAAGCACTGAATTTTTTTCTTTTCCCTACTATGTAAGGCTTAATTTATTGTTACCATAATTTTTATGCATTATAATGTGACTGTTCTATCTAAAAGTTGTTTTTGCCTTTGAACCAAGCTTGGTAGTGGCCTTGTTTATCAAGCATACATGTTTTGTATGTATAGCAGTAAAAATAAAATAATATTTACAATTTTGGTTTATAATTGTGGCGCCTCTATATAATAAACATGTAGGTATGTGATAATTTGGCCCGTTTTGCTGTTCTATGTTTGTATGTTGTGAGAAGTGGGACATTGTTTTGTGGGGAAGGGCGGTATTTGAGCCACTACTGAGATAACCAATATGGAGCAGTATGAGAAATGTAGTTTTAAATACTTTTGGTTTAAATTGCACTTCCTTGTAACAAAATGTGAAATATTTTGGCTGAAGTGGAGGCTGTTAAAAAAATTTCAAGAGCTAGTTCAGTTCTGTTTATGGAATAGAAATGTGTGTTCTGATGTCTTAGAAAAGTCTTACATTTTGGCCAGGCATGTAGCTCACACCTACAATCCTCACACTCTGGGAGGCTGAGGTGGATGGATCTCCTGAGCTCAGGAGTTCAAGACCAACCTGAGCAAGAGCCAGACCCTGTCTCTACTAAAAATAGAAAAACTGGCTCAGTGCCTATAGCACAGTGGTTACGGTGCCAGCCACATGCACCTAGGCTGGCAGGTTCGAGCCCAGCGCAGGCCAGCTAAACAACAGTGATAACTGCAATAAAAAAAATAGCTGGGTGTTGTGGTGGGCACCTGTAGTCTCAGCTACTTGGGGGTCTGAGGCAGGAGAATCACTTAAGCCTAAGAGTTTGAGGTTGCTGTGAGCTGTGACACCATGGCACTCTGCCAAGGGTGACATAGTCAGACTCTGCCTCAAAACCAAACAAACAAAAAATATGTATATATTTTCTATGTACATATAGAAAAACTGAGGCAAGAGGATCTCTTGAGCCCAAGAGTTTGAAGTTGCTATGAGCTATAATGTGAGGGCACTCTACCCAGGGCAACAGAGTGAGACTGTCTCAAAAAAAAAAAAACCCAAAGTCAAATAGAAAACTGAACACATGGGTACTATTTCATGTACAATTTTAATTGATGGACAGACTTAAAGGGATTTAAAGATTTAAGCATCAAGTAATGATATTAATCTCCATTTTTATATGTATCAGGACAGTGTCAGCAAAGAATACCTTTCATAAGCATAAAATATTTCTTTAAGTTGACTTGTCATATTAATAAAAGGACCTTTGTAACCAAAGATTCTAAAAATGTGCTAGACTGAGACAAAATCGCGAAAAACTATTTAGGCGTGGGAAGGCAGGCTGAACTTCCTGGATTTTTCTCTTCTCCCAGCAAGGACCCACTGAGTCCAATGTCTTTTAGCCTCGGGCACCCAGCTAGACCAGTTGAATTCATGAGAAAATTGACAAGTAGTCTATGTTCTGGTGGTCTCAAAAATATTTCTTTTTTAAAAAGAAGACCCAAGACAAACACTATCCATACAAAGCATGGAATACTCATGGGGAATTTAGGCAACATCTGGAAATTGTCTTTGTGGGGGGATGGGAAAGAGGAAGAGAAAGAGAAGTGGGAAGATGTGAAAGAAAAGAATAGGAAGTTAACCTCCCTGCTTTCTCTTAACCTAGTGGGAGGACACTGGTACCATTCCTATGTCATGGATGAACAAATCCAAAGTCCAAATCTCTCACTTCCTCAAGATCACATGACCAGAAATGCAAAGCCCAATCGGATTGATATTCTCCTGATTATAAATTTTGTGTGCTTTTCATTCCCTGGGCTTTCTACTCTATCAGTTGTGCCAAGCATGGCATATCCAACATCCAGTTTCATGAGTCCTAGTCCCAATTTCAAAATAAGGAAACCCCCTCTGGTTATTTCGCATAAGGTCCCACAGCAAAGAAGAGAGCATTTGGTAAGGGAGTAATTGCAAAGCTCGGCCCTTTCTGTTCGTTCAGTGTTTCTCAAACAGACTCAGAGGGTGTCCAGACCTATTCTGAGAAGCCTGAGCTTAACCTTCAAGAACGTTTAAATGTTGTGTTTTTATTTTAAGGATAGTACTTACAGATTAATAGAAGCCTATTCTGGATAGCCAAGTAATGCAATGAAGTTTCAGTGCAGGCTTTTGTATTTATGTTTAGATTCACGGTAAGAGTAGTTAACCTTTAATATGTTGGCAAGCACATTTGGTTACCACTGAGTGTGTGTGGCCTCACGTCAAAATGACAGCAACTCTCCCACCTTTGTTCCTAATGCCTGTTAGGTTCACACAGCAGAAGGCCAACTGATGTCCGCGTACGATGGACGAAGGAAGTGTTACCGTAATGTAAAAAGAGAAAAGTGCCAGAATATCACATGGCATTTAGTAGTAAGGCAAGATGAATTCAAGATAATCTACTGCCCAGGTAGATTGAACTAGGAGTTAGATAATACAATTGTTCAATAGGCACAAGTCTTGCCAGCCAGAAAAAATACAAAGAAAATTGAAAGCAAAGTTTAAAATATTTCTTTAAGTTGACTTGTCATATTAATAAAAGGACCTAAAAATAGTTTAGGTTTTAGCTGGTAAAATTATTACAAACTTCATTAAAGCTTGTTGGCTTCTTTCTCATGCAATTACTAAATTTTGTAAACCAGTGGGCAGGGACCAAAAATAGCTTTTATTATATTTTAGAATATAGTGTGTATCTCACGGAAAGAGTATCACAGGGGACATTTGCCATGTATTTTTGCCGAAGCTTTTATTTTATCTACTGGTAGAAATATCCTGGTTTTTACTTGAGTTTCCACCCATTCTCTGCAGCCCAAGTGGCTAATAGGTGCCACATTAGACAGAGCAGATTCAAACATTTCCATCAGTGCAGAAAGTTCTATTGGATACCACTAATCTAGATTTCAACCAAGATGATATAAAATACTATTTATTAAAGTATTTTATAAACTCCAAAACACTTCTTTAAAACCTGCATTATTATTATGAATCATTTTCAGCCACTGTAAGGGAGTGATTTTCTATAAGTAAATTGAATTCCCCACAGACCGCGGCTAGCTCTAAGAAAATCTTTTTTTTTTTTTTTTTTTTTTTTTTGAGACGGAGCCTCAAGCTGTCCCCCTGGGTAGAGTGCTATGGCTTCACTGCTCACAGCAACCTCCAACTCCTGGGC